TAATACCAGCCTAGGGATTGAAAGGTGGTGTAGATGATAGGTGTCGAGCTTTCCAGTTAATACTGGTAAAAATGACAAATTGGTAGTACTTGTATAGTCTACTTATAGACACCAGCCTAGGGATTACCTGAGTCGTATTTACCACCTTGGAATTTTACTGAAATTAATGGATTAATGTGTTTTCAAATTGGCATTGTGCATAAGATTTTGAAAAGATGAGAAAAATATTTTGAGTATGACATGACATATGCATTCATCTCATAAGACTGTATAAAATGTATTTGATGCTTTGTTAGATGTCATTATGAATTGTTTAATTATTTGATTCAGTTGATTATGAGATAATTGAATGGATTAAAAATGATGTCATGTTGCTATTGAAGCATGTTTATTTATTTAAGTTAACTGGTTGTAGTTAATTAAAGAAATTAGATTTAAGAGATTATGTGATAAAACCATATGATTTTTGACATGATATGATTTCACATATATGTATGAGTATCTTTGTACCCGCATATCTTCTAATGTTTTAATATGAGATTGCTTGGTGCGCTAGTGGTTGCTCACCCCCTACCTGTACATGTGTACAGGGAATGCTTTTCGGATTTGAAGATCAAACAATGGTTTTTACCATTTCATAAGTGTAATGTTGTGATGGATTGTACTACTTCATTTGTTGTTTGGCTGAGTGCTATTTTTTTTTTTTATAAAGAGTAGTGTCCTCTCTTTTATTGTAAGTCTCAGGGCATTTTTTTATTTGTATGTAAATATCATTGTTGTATAACGAAAGGGAATATGTATATTTAATTTTTCATCATTTCATCCAAGGATGAAATGTTATTTGTAAATGGACTTAATTAATGAATATTGGTAAGGTTATCCGAGTAATAAAATACAGGGCGCGATACAATGTATGGTCCAAATTCATACAAGATATCATTGGTGATGAGATATTTGGTATAACTTAATGAATTGTTTATAATTCTTTTTTTAATTTTAAAAAATTGTATTAGAGCATTGTATTAATCATTGACTTACTGATAATGAGGCAAAAATAGAATAATTAAGATAAAAAATTAATAATTACTAAAATTGGTCCAATTGATTACACTAAATTCACCTAAATTGGCTTATTTTGGCCTTGAATTTTTACTTTATCTGAAATTGGTCCAATTGATTACAATCGTTACATTTTTCTAATTAAAAATACGCACATGAGTAATGTGTCAAAAAAAAAAAAGATCAAAAAACAAAAAACGATGTGTCATGTTCGTAAAAGCAATATTATAAACTTGATCAATTTAGTGACTTAATTTCAACCAATTCAATAATTATTTTCTATAAAAAAAATCTTAACAACGTTATCAATTAAACCAAATTGACGCAAAATCTAAAATTAAGAATAAAAATTGAGCCAATTGAAGCTGTAAAGACTAAAATGACATAAGCAACAAAATGTATAGACTACATGTGCAATTTTCCCTAAAATATATTATTAATGTGACACTCAAAAGTGAACTTGTATAATTTGTGGAAAAGACTATGTGTGTTTACTATATGCACCTTGCCACAAAAGAAGAAATAACATAATTCCATACATTCTACGGCATAACCAAAAAAAGAAAGACATAACCCAACACCACATGAGGTATAACCAAAGATCTCATGAGTTAAACTAAAATAATTTCATAACTAAATAACAAAATTTTTCATAACTAAAAAAGAAAATGACATAATTAAGAGTATATGGTACAATCCTTTCAAGGGGTATTGTAGACACCCCATTTTTGACCGTCCTCAAGACTTGGACGTCACCGTTTGAACACTCAGTGATTATCCATGTTTGTGTTCGTTTGGAGTTCCCGGAGGTCTCGGCTCGCGCGCCTTGCCTCAGGATCTCCGAACTCGACTGTTTAGTATCTGGTTTTGCACCAAACACTTGTGTTTTGCCTTCGAGGGGCAGGGAATGCCTTGTGAGGCATCCCCACACACCACCGGCAGTGGCTAGAGGTCACCGGCTGGTTTTTGCTGCCATCGGCACTATTTGTTGCCGGTCGGCACTTTTTGTTGCAGATCAGCACTCTTTGTTGCCGGTCGGCACTATATTTTTCCAAAATGGCATCTTTGGCCGGCCGACTACTGTGCATCTTCTTTTGCAGATATTTTAAGACAGCTGTCTTGCTTTTGGCTCCCCTCCATACACGTGTATGGAGGGATTTCTCTCTTGGAAGCTTGTCTTGTAAGCTTTACAAGACAATAGGCTTCTATAAAGAGAAGCCTTGTCTCTTGGCTTTAGGGTTAGAGACTTTAGACATTTTAGAGACAAAAAACACAGAGAGAAGCTCTGGTTTTTAGGGTTAGGATCCATACATATCCTATCTCTCTTTTTCTCTCTTTGTGCTCTAGGTGTTTTGTGTCTTACTATTGCACACAAACACCTAGTGTTCTGGTTTTGAAGTTTTGGTGTTGGATTCAAGCTAAGGAGGGCCATTGGAGCACCATTGTTGAAGAGGTCTTCAAGGGTAAGAATCTCACCTCTTTATTCCCCATTTTTGTACCTTATTTCTACCTATCTTAGAACTGTTTTTGTGCTTAGTGTATAATACAAAAAAGTTCTGTTTTTTAGCCCTCTTGATTGTTTATTAAGAGTGTTATTAAGAGTGTTTAATGGTTTGAGGGTGTTTGACCCCTCTTAGGCCTTGAAAGGCTTCATTTTGTGCTATTTTGTGCTAGTTTCGGGACTTTGGTGTTTGGGCCTCTTCACCACTGAAATCTTGAGGGATTTCAGTGGTGGAGATGGTTCCTTGAAGTCCCCAAAAGGAGAGGGCCACCTCCTCTCCTTGTTGTCCTTGAAAAGGACCATTTTTGGCCTCTTGAGAGAGCATCATGTTAAAGTGTGTGTTGACCATGCCTTAGTTGTTTTTTGTGCTTAATATGTCATGTTATGCCTCTATTTTTCGTTGGTTTTGGTATACCATGCATGCTTAGCATAACTACCACGTAATGCCCTGTTATTGCCTCAATGTGCCTTAGGTTGTTAGCCCTTGTTAGAGCATGTTTTAGGCTTAGTCTTGTGAAGCTTTTGTGCATATTTTGCCATGCTTTAGGTCTGTCCATGATCATTTGGGTCGGATTTGGCATGCATCATATAGCCCCTTTGCATTTTGGCTTGTTGGCCTTAAGTATGTGAATGTATAGCATGACATTTTTGCATTGATTTGGTGTTTTGGAATCATCCACCCTGTCATTTCAGTCCTATTTGCATGCCTATATGTTTACCTTGGACGCATCTTTGATGCTTTGAAAGCTTGTCTTGCATGCTCCATGTTTTGGTCATTATGCATGCCTTTGAATTTGAGTCATTTAGATGCCATCTAAGTGGTCTTTTGGGCTTTATTTTATGTGCTAAAACTCTGTTTTTAGTCATTTAGTTCATGCCATGTTTCGTCTTGCTAAGTGTAGTTCAATGCTCCATTGGTTTGCTTTGAGCACATGGGCTATTTGTTGCATGTTTGGCTTGATTTGTTGCTTGGTTTGGCACCATCCTAACATGATTTTCAATGCTTATGTCGCATGCTAATTGTCCATGATTGTCTCCTTTCAAATGTGTTTGAGAGTTGTCCAATTTGTGCCTAAGTGTTGGCCTTTCAACATGCGCATGTGTGCATGTGTATTTGGTTCCTCATTATAGCACTTTGGCCCTTGTTTTAGGCCTAATTAGAGCTGCCTAAATCATGTTTTAGACCATCTTTTTCATCAATTTGTATTGCCTCATGTTTGCTTATATGCTTACATAAGTGCCTCGCCATGCCATGTTGCATCCTTAGCTTGCATGCTTAGGTTGTCTTGCATCTTGCATGTATGCCTTGTTCCTTGAATTGGTGATGGGAATTGGGCCTTGATTTGTGTGTTTGGTTTGCATTTCATTTGACATGAAAGTTGCATACTTGATTCTTTGGGCCATCATGCATGGAAGTGCGTGATTGGTGGTCCGAGAATAGAGACACATGCCCCTTTGAGTCACAAACATGATAAGGGACATGAATGGTGCATATATGCTTTGAATTGTGCTGCCATGCTTTGCCTTGCCCTCTATTGCTGTCAATTGCAGATTCTGCAGGAACACTTTGCCGGCCGGCAGTGTCAAGTGCCGACCGGCAATCCTTTTTCTGCCGACAGCTTCATTTTGTGCCGATGACCATAACACACTGCCGGTGACAGTTCCATTCAGCCGGTGGCGCTCCTCAGTGTCCAAGAAACCAGTCCTGAGATTTTGGCAGCCTCCAGAGAAGTGAAGGAAGGAAAACAGAGGCGGCCTATGCATGGCGGTGCGTTTCCGAGCAAGATCCGGGCATGCCCTGCATTTGGCCCTCCTCCCGAGGCGATTTATCTGTTTTCCTAGCTTAATTAGTTTATTAATTAATTAGGCAATTTGTAATATTAATTAGCTCGCGTAGTTAATTAATTTGTATTATTTATTTGGTCCCTCCGAGCGAGGGAAAATCTATAATAAGTGTGTGTGGGTGGTGTGTATGTCTTCCAATCCCCACTTCTTTCTTCCCTTTTACTTACCCACTTTGATGGTTAGTATTAGGGCATCTTTAAAATTAGCATACCTTATACTATGCATGCGTGCATTCATGCATTTGTATTGCATGCATAAACTGGATGCATGTGAATTTGAATCCAGACTTGAATACTTCAAGTTGCCATCTCTATGCTTAATACAAGATGCATCACCGATGTATACTATATTTTTGCCTGATCTTCATAGAATTCTATAATAAAGCAAGTTCCATTGTGGAGATGATGGCCCAACAATGAATTTGTGACTCTATCCAAACTGAATGCAAGATGGAATCATGACTTGAATATGGCTATTTTTCAGCTCTGTTTTGCATAAATGTGTTTTGCATGATCGCCAATGATTTTTATGATCAAGCAAGTTCTATTAGATAAATAATTGCTTCATTTTTGGAATAATCTAGAATGTATATTTGTTTATTCCCTGCTTTATTTTGCTCGTTTTATTTCTGTATGCAGATACATACTGTTGCCGTTGGGGCTGCTATAGGTCATGCATGCCTCTTGCTTGCTGCAGGAACCAAGGGCAAACGGTTTATGATGCCGCATGCCAAAGGTATGATGTACTTGTTTGTTTGCCTTGCTGAGTGTACTGTAATTTTGCAACTGTTCCATATTATCTTGCATCCAAACTTACTTGAAAGTTCATGAGGGCTCACTTGAGTTATGTTCCAGCCATGATCCAACAGCCTCGTGTCCCATCATCTGGGTTAATGCCAGCCAGTGATGTTCTCATCCGTGCAAAGGAGGTTAGTCAAAATCATTTGGTTGCTTTCTGGTTTTCAAATGTGAACTGCAGTGTAAGTTTTATGGCAAATTTAGCCCATTGCCTAAAGTAGTTTATTCTTATGATCTGTTTAAAAGAGTTGTTCCTACCTACATGTCCAAACCAAAACCAAAGTATTGTGTACCAATCAATTGGGGTTGGCGACATGAATTTCGTCATTTGCTCCCTTGAAGTCTATATGCTTAGTTAAATTAAATAAATTCATCTCGTCTCTTACTACAACTCCATGTCAGTTTTGGTCTTCCCCTCTTGCAAATATTTCCATTAAGAGTGACCATATCACAAAAACTTATGTGAGGCACCTAAACACTAAACTTCTAGGCAAGGTCACAGATGAACAACATGCTATAGTGAAGCATTAAGGAAAAAAGTATCTAGAAAGTACTCTTGAAACTATTACTTTTAAACAAATAGGCACAACTCTTCGGCTTATAAGTGACCAATCAATAGGCTAGAAGCAAGATAGTATAATCTGATATATATTGATTGCTCTTCAAGGGTAGTGGTTCTGTACTTTAAATAACAAGACATGGCCTATGTGCACAACCGAAGGATGGCAAGAACTCTACGAGGGGGATTGCTGTATGCAGGGTGGGTTCCAAAGATTTGCCTCTCTCACTCTGCATTCATTCACCATTGTTTGATTATTCCCTTCTTTTCATTCAGCTTGGATGCAGTTTTGTAGGG